GGATTTAGATCCAAGCTGTGAACTCAGGCAAGTTCCTCAACTTCTCAAGGTCTCAGCTGCCTCAGCTGAAAATGGGTTCATAATAGCCCTTTCCTTCAAGGGTAGTGTTGAGAATTAATGAGGAGGTGCACACGACCTGACACAGCTAAGGCCCAAACCAGCAGCTGCTGCTACCCTTGCTGCAGCAGTGGCTGTGTGTGAAGAGTCAGGGGCACACTGGCACTCCTGGTCTCCACCAACACTGACCCCAGGTCTGAACAGCCTGGTCCTGCTCTGCTTGCCCTCTCTGCTTTGGGTACTCCCCCAAATACAGTGTCTTTATCGAGAGTGGCCTAGGGAAGGGAGGATGTGTTGCTTATACCTGGAGTTTGAACTACTTATTCCCAAACAAACATTGTTATCCGTGGTTATTAGTAGAAGCCATTCGGTGCTTCCTTTTTTTTTTTCTTTTTTTTTTCAAGGACAGTCTTACTTTAGTCAAGTTCCAGAAATGAGGGTACACAGCTTCGAAAAGCAGTTTGTAGCAGAAGATGCTAGGGTGTGCGTAAAGCTATATTTCCAGAATATACCAAAGAAAACAGACATAACTCCAGCATGGCCTTGCAAACCCTCGATGCTGCTGCATACACCAGGCGGACGGCTACGTCCTCCAGCTGACTTTGGGAATGTTGTAATGCTCTGTGAGAGTGTCCAGGTGCCTGTGGAAGTCCTCCACTCTCTGCTTGTGGGTTTTGGATCAGTAGGTGCTTCTTGATTAAGTAGTCTACAGCAGAGCTGTATGAGACTATCTATTCTGACTTCTAAAAAATGTTTGGAATATGACATTTCTGAATGATTAGCAGCTGGAAAGTAATATCCGCCATGCACTCACTATGGGCCAGACCTTGGCTAAGTATGAGGTACTTGTTACATAATTTTTCCAATAACACAGTGGGGCGGATGGTGTTGGCACCAATTCAGACATGAGGAAACTCAGCTTCAGAAGGGCAAGTAGGCTTGTGGGCTAGCAAGCGGAGCTGTGCAGGGGAAAATGATCAGCATTTCTCAGTAGCCATGAATTATAGTCCCTGTTTTCCAGATACAGAAATTGATGCCCAGAGAAGTACAGTGACTTGCCCAAAATCACGCAACTAGGGAGTTACAGAATCAGATTCCTGCTGGACTCCAGGCTCCACCATCCCTGCACACTTCCAGCCTCACAAGTTTTTCTTTGGCTTGCCTTTCCGCCTCACATTTGTCCACATCCTCCAACAGACTAGGGTGGGACACAGGAAGCCAACTTCCCGGAGAGGAGAAGTAATGGTCCCAGGGCTGGAGGAAGGCCGGGTTGATGCCCTCAGTGCCTGTGCGTTTGCAGCTTTCGCCTGGAAGCAGGCACGCTTCCCCTCTAGAGACAGGCCTGAGCAGTCAGCAGGCTCCAATTCCATACTCAATTATTCAACACAAATAAGAGTTGAATTAAAATTTCATGACCCCATTGCTTTTTACCCAAGCATCTATCTGAAAGTGAAGACATTTGTTTGAGTCCAACAGTCTAATTGCTGAAACATTCATCCGAAGCCTTTCAACTTCCATAAATCACTTTGGATAACAAGCTACCTTGTAATTTCCACAGAGTTCGAAGTGGAGCAGGTCTTTCTGCAGACACAATGCCCCAGGGGCTGTTGGTTGAATGAGTCCCTCTTGGGAGCAGGGCTGGGGTTTCACTCAGTGTCTGACGGCCAGATGGTCACAACCTCTGGTTTTAGGAGACAATCTCTGACATTTGCCCAGTGGGATCAGTAGGAGGATTCCAGGTGAACAGCAGCCAGGAGGATTTAGGAGGCGGACTGCAGTGCGAGGTTGTCCCTGGAGGTTACCGGAAACCACATCTCCGTAGACAGGGCCAGTGGGAGGGAGGGACAGATGTGCGTCCCCTTCTCCTCTGACCCTTCAGGTTCCTTAGGGGCAGGTGGGTGACCTTGGGACAATTAATCAATCGCTCAGTGCCTCAGTTTCCCCACCTGGAAGGCAGAACGAATGAACCCTCCTGACAGGGTGGTTGTGAGGCCATGGGGGTGGGCCTGTGGGTAGTCTCAGCATGGTTCCTGACAGTAGGTGCTCAAATCCATCAGTGCTGGTGGCTCGAGTTGTGTGCACAGACGACTGTTGACTGGGGTGAGGTGTGACGTGGTGCCCTGGCTTCCAGCCCTCACCTGTCCCACTACTGACCATCTGAGGAGGCCCCAGGCACCCCTGGGCAGCAGGAGAGTGGGTCGACATTGAGATAGTCCAGAGGTGAGACTCAGAGATGTGGGCAAGGAAACTTCCTGCCCAAACAGAAAAGATGGCTATGGGGCAGCCCCCGCCACCGCTGAGGGGAAGGAACGCTCAGCATTTAGAGAGGCAGGGGCAAGTGAGTGATGACCAGAAGCTCGGGTCAGGCATTCCAGCAATAAAGCCGACAGAGCGCAGTGTGTCTTCAGGCAGGCTGAGCTCCACCCACCATGGGGGCTGAGGGCAGGTGAGGAGGGTGGATCCTGACTAGGGGTGAAGCAAGGCATCCCTGAGATGGGAGAAAAGGCACAGAGCCCGAGCTCAGAGCCCAGCTCAGAAGGAGGCCCCCAGGTCCTAGCAGGTCCCCACGGCACTCACCCTGGAGGGCTTGCTGTGATGGAAGAAGGGACGGCACCTGGGGAAGAGCTGGGGAGCCCAGCGGGGCAAGGTCTCAGAGACATTTCGGGGCATGCTGTGGGCCTGCAGCCCCAGGACTGACTCTGGAGAATCTCAGGAGAGGGCAAAAGTGAGGGATGGGAGGGTCTGGACAGGATGCAGAGCTGACCTTTGGGGAATATTATGGCCAAGGAGAAGCACGGGGATTGGTTTCTGGGCCTCTCCCTGCTTCTGAGTCACTGTGTAACACGGGACAAGCCACTTGCCTTCTCTGAGTTTGGTCTGCACATCTGCAGAATAAGAGATGTTAACTAAGGGATCTCTAAGACCCTCTCAGCTCCCTCCGACGGTCAGGCCTTGTCTCCGTATAGTTCTGTGTGATGCCCCCCTCCCTCCCCCTACACCCCACCCTCTATCTTATCTGGTAAGTGGCTTTCTAGCTCAAATTGCCTTCTGCCCAAGGAACGCAAGTCAGCACCATGAACCCACAGCGCTGACTCGGCAGCCCTCCAGGTCACTGTGTGATGCCGGGCCCAGCAGTAACAGGGGTGCTCGGTTCATTAGAGACCAGGGCTAATATGTCCTCACCCTTAAAGATGCCATTACAGGGTGGTTCCTGCAGCTTCCTCTGTGGGAGGGAAGAAAACAAGGAGAACAGGGAACAGAAGATGAATCTGACTAATACCCCAGAGGAGAGTCTGAGAGCAAAGTTTTGTGCTGGTCTCAGCTTGGAGACCGAGGTGCTGGTGATGGACAGTCACTGGGCTCTTCCGTTTCCTGTGACAGGAACTTCAGAGGAACCCTCTTGAGTTCAGAAGGGATTTTTTTGGTTTATATAAACAGAGGAGCTCTGAGACAGAGGAGCTGTCAGGAGCACCTTGACTCAGGCGCTCAAATGATGCCAGCAGGACCTGCTCCTTTTTTCACCATCTTTTAGCATTTCTCTACCATGCAAAGCCATCTCAAGTTCCCCTTTGTGGTGGTGAGATGGTTTCCATCTGCACTGGCACTCAGCAGAAGACAGAACTTCTTTTCCTCGTGGTTGATCAAAAGTTCTGGGCCACTGGCTCTATGAACCACAGCCCCACCCCTGAATCGTCAGAAAGGAGAGAGGCCTGGAATATGCTGACAGCCTTAAGCCAATCAGGGTCTATCCCATGAGTGAGCTTAACCCCATGTAGACTGAGAGTTGGGGAGAGGACACTGTTTTATCAGTAAAAGAATAAAAGGGTACTAGGCCACAAAAACCCATGGATGCCTAGAGTGAGTTTGGGGCAGGGAGCAAGAAGAGAAAACATATTAACAGAAACAAAAGGGAAAAATACAAATATTTCTGCATCCTGGTTGATTTCATTTCACTTTCCCAAGAATACAATGATATTGGAGCTGCTGTAATCCTAGGTATAGAATTCTAGGTGTTTAGAGTTAGAAATGTCTTCAGTACTCTCAGACCAACTCTATTTCCTTATTTATGTATTTTAATTGACATCTAAAAAATTATGTATATCTATGGTGCACAACATGATATTTTAAAATATGGATACATTGTGGAATAGCTACACTAAGCTAATTAATATATGCATTACCTCACATACTCATTTATTTGTGGTGAGAATACTTGAAATCTATTCAATGTCACTTTCATAGGCAGGGTATCAAAGACCCAGAAAGGTTAAGTGACTGTCTCCAGGTCACACGCCTCAGGGTAAGACGGTGGAGTAGGGAATCCATCTTCCCATCTAAATAGCAGTTGCACTAGCAAAATCTGTCTGATATAACTATTTTGAAACTCTGAAGTCTATGCAAAGGCTTGAAAATTAGGGGGAAGGCTTATGTAGTACATCACAGCTGATTTCCCTTAACTTCAGCTTTTAGTTGGGTAGCAGCTTCCAACTCTCCATCCCACAGCCATGTGGCAGGCAGGTGTGCATGTCCTCCTGAGCCAGCTTGTGTGCAGCCTGTGGGAGCCTGGGTGGACAATAAGGACCTTGTCCTTCAAATATTGGGTATCCAGCCGGGAGCAGTGGCT